TACGGTAGATTTCGTTCTGGGATGAGTAAAGGCCAATGATGAATGCCGAAAAATCAAAGCAACTTGAATTTCCTTTGGAGCCCACCCTGTCTGATTTGAGTAAAGAAGAAAGAAACGCGTCCTGCGTGCACCGTTGACCCCGCTACCTATACATTGCAAAGTAGATAAGTGCTCAAGGAGGGTGCTCGGCCAGCTCCCTATTTGTTGGGTTCGGCTTGTGTGAGTATAGCCTCCCGGCCCAACCAATTTTTGGCTTGGCGACGGGCGCCCGACGATACTGCTTTCGCCTAGTCCACTCGCTCCACAACCCCACCAATTCAACTCTCCCCTCGGCGCAACAGCTACCGTATGGTGTACGACTTGCAGAATCCCTGAGATATGCGATAGCAGGACAGTAATCAGGAACGGCGCGACCGAGCCAAACCTTCAAAACCAAGGGCGCTCTCCATCACCTCCCCTTAGTACTATTTCCGGAGCCAGGGACAGTCATTCTTATGATAAGAAACATGCGGTTGATGAATCCCGCCTATAATTACTATATATCCTTTCCGAGCGGCTCGCCCAGAATTATTCAAGCAGGCTACCTCAATTCACGGTGGTAGTTATCGACAACTCCGCATGGCAAGGATCTGGGCCTGACACCCATCACCGGTAAACTACGCACCAGGAGAGACGGACTGGAACCGGGTTTGATTTCGCGGGGAGCTAACGACAAAAGATCTATCTTGGATACTGTATCAGGGCATTTCTACATAATCGTCAAAGCCTGGCAGTGCTGGTGGATCAGGGATAGAAAATGTCGACGCATTAACATCCGGAACGGCTGGGTTGTCGAGCATAGCGAATTGCTTGGACTGGTCCAGCCAGGACCCTTGAGCCACATCGGAATCTGATAGCAATGTGCTGATGTATGCGTTTTGAGACGCATCTATCTCCGCTTCGGCCATTTTGGTCACGGACGAGGAGGCATCAAACAAGTCCTTCAAAATCTTCTCATGTTCTTTCCGCGAAACGTAGTTTGTGCGGTCCAGGGTCGCGTCGTCCAGGCGTTTTTCCAGTTCTTGCGTCTTCTGCTTTGACTCATTGAGCTCCGACATGAGCTTTCGGACCTTCCCTTGTAGTTGGGCTTTTTCAAGGTCCCACCTCCGCGCAGTATCTGCGGCCTCTTTTAGTTGCGATGTGAGCTGTCGACGATCTTGGTCGGCCTTCTTGAAAATGGTGTTGCAATTGGCGTGCACAATGTCAGACTCTTCGCCCCGCGGATGTCTTTCCGGGCCATGCGTGGGGAGCGCCTGGCAATGTCGAGGCCAAGATTAGCGCGATTTCGACTTTACATTGGAAGATGGCAATATCATACTGGTGGTCTTTGGTGAGTTCCCTGATTTGCAGGTCGAGGGGGTCTGTTGGCACGCGGGGGAAAAGGTTGACCTGGCGGAATAGTAGGCGCTCCGACCCGTGTCTTTGGGGTAGCGGTTACCGTCCGGGTCCGGGAGGCCGTGGGAATTTTTGGCATGACGTGTTCCAAAGACAAGACGTGATAGTTTGAGCAAGTCTGCAAGCTGGTCAAAACGAATGAGGGGGCTGCGGCTTCAAACTCTCTTCCGTGGGCAGATAGATTCAAGGCTGCATCCTGGATTTATAGCTCGAAATGAACAGGCCAAGTTAATACGCGATGGAATCTAGGCTGGAGTTAATGATGGCCTAGCCTTTGATTTCATCCAATTGAGCGACCGTCGCCGGTGTTACTGCGTCGGAGTAACTCGGACTGAGTAATTCGAACTGTTTAATCCACTTCCAACTGAGTAACTCGAATTGAGTAATTCGAGTTGAGTAATTCGAACTGAGTAATTCGGATTACCTATGAAGGCGCAAAGGATCGGTAGCAGCTAATTCATCTCCTTAGATTTATCGGAGACGAAACATATACGTTGATACTACTCTAGCACTGACCATGGGCGAAACGTCTTTCGCTGTTTAAAACGGTCATTCCCATTTAAGAAACCGTGGAGGCAATTCATGATTCTGTGCCGCAGTATTTCGTTGATGTTTAGGTGAAAGACAGAGGGAATTAACGACATCTTAGATTCAACGTAGAAATCACTCGCCTTGAGTCGAGATGGGTGGGACATTAGATTGGTGGACGTGGAGCGACCATGAAATATGGAGGGGAGTAGTAAGAAAGTAATCTTCATTCGCGGATCTGCCAGGCGGTGAGGGCCGATTTGGCGGCAGGGCACTACGAGAAAAATATGTGAGGGGCGGCTGGGGCGCGCAAGTGGTCTTCCTCGGCCGCTCTAGAGACATACACATAAAAGAGCATTCCCACCCAGGGTCTAGGAAGCCAGAATTCAGAATACTTCTGTTCTCCCCTACCTGGCCTTGAGAAAGTCTTGTATTGTAGTGCCCCCGCGTGGCCTCAAAGCGTTTGCTCCCCTACCCGACCTTGAGAATGTCTGGTATTGTAGTGCCTCCGCGTGGCCTTAAAGCGTTTGCTCCCCTACTTGGCCTTGAGAAAGTCTTGTATTGTAGTGCCCCCTCGTGGCCTGATACCGTTTGCTCCCTCTGGCGAAAAGATAGACACCTCTTCGTGGTGCTGGAGACTAGTACGCAGACAATGATTGTTCTGCGGAAGCTAAGATCTATCTTCGAGGTTTTATGACAGACTATCTAGGAAGACCTTTTGACGTTTAAAGTCAACCTAGTACTGTACCATCACATTTCTCAGTGATGAATAGAGACCAATGATGAATTTCGAACAATAAACGCGCACCATGGTCGAAGAGATTAAAGAAAGGAATGCTTTCTGTGTGCATCGCGGACCCAGCCAATCAGCACACTACAAAGTAAATAAGTTCAAGATGATCAATACAGTTCATAGCCAGCTTCCTATTCCTTGGGTTCAGCTTGTGTGAATATAGCCTTCCGGAGCGACTAGAGAGTCAATAGTTGAATTCACGCGCTGCTTGTGCCGAGCCCACCCGATCCATGACCCTCAAGAAGTACAAATCTCCCTTCCCCCATTAGCTACCGAAAGTCATGAAAAAAGGCGGGAAATTTAGTCTTGTCTTTGTCCAATGAATGGAATTGTTCCTGTCTAGGTGGGCCGTCCGTGACCGTGCAGTCTGTTTTAGATTTCGGCCGACATGCGAAGGTCGAATAACTTGCATGCTCCCACGTGATGTCGTGCGTCATACAATAGGAGTAATGAGGCACCGACCGTGCCAAACCTTCAGAGCTAAGGTCGCTTTGTACCACCACTTAGTACCGGCCCCGGGGAGGAGACAGGCAGAGTCTTTGTTACAGTATCTAGATTGGGAACATGCAATTGATCTCGTGTACTTCCAATTACAAACCACCTTCGGACGTCTCGCCCTCTGTTGCACTCCGAGCTCTGTAGAGATTCTCCTCAATACATGGTGGTTGACGACGACAACCCCACATGGCAAAGGTTTGGCCTGAGACCCATCGCGGTAAACTACGCATCGGGAGAGACGGAGTGGAAGCTGCATCTCTTTCGCGGGGAACTAAAGTCAGAGGGCTATCTTGGGTATCATTGCATTGCCACATATTCGTCAAAATCGGGTTGTCGAGCATCCCGAACTGCTCGGACTGGTCCACGAAGGGCACTTGAGCCACATCGGAATCAGGCATGAATGTGGTCACGAATGCGTTATGAGACTCACTCAAACCCGACTCAATCATTTTGGCCACGGAAGAAGAGGCGCCAAGCAAGTCCTTCAATGTCTTCTCATGTTCTTGCCGTGATACATAACTTCTGCTGTCCAGGGTCGCCTCATCAAAGCGCTTCTCTAGATCTTGTGTCTTTTGCTTTGACTCATTGACCTCCGACGCGAGCTTCCAGACCTTCGTTTGTAGTTGCGCTTATGGTCGAAATGATTCCATGCGAAATCTCAAGTTCGACATATAGTATGAAAGAGACGGCTAAAAAGTCTTCGGGATGCGGTGACTGTCGTCACTCATAGAAAGGGAAACTGGAAGAGAACAGGGAGCAGGGAACCGGGAACAGGGGACAGGGGAGGAGGAGAGTTTTAAGGGGAGTCGAATTCCAGTTTTGCTATTTTGGTGGAATTGTAGTCTCTTATAGACCATGGTTGCCTATAAGGCGGCGGAGCCCTCCTTCTACCAAGCGCAGACGATCTCGACCAGATCCTACAATCCAGGCCATGGCATCCAAGGAAGCCAGACCATTCCAGTTTCATAGGCAACAACCACGGGCTATAGTTCACTAGTAAGGATTCCCGCTACGCTCGCTGATGACCCTTACGATGCATGCCCACACTAGTCATTAGCCCATTCTAAGCCGTTTCTCTATTAGGGAAGTGATAGTATAATAATGATATAGTGTCGTAGTCGCCTGTCTAGCATTAGCCGTAAGATATAGCACCGACCGAGGTTAGGGGTGTGTGCGGTATTTTCGCTATTGGCCTATATCACCGGGCTATGCTTTCGAATATTTATCGGTTAGTGTAGAGGGAACCGGAGAGACCGACGATAACGACAACTAGGTCGTATTCGTGGCTAGGCAACTAAGAGCTATCTGTGATGCCGGGGGTGTGCAATGTAACTTCGGATAGAGCGGACGAAGCGGGGCATGCGGCGTGGAGGGTACACCGGCACTTTACAGATATAAAGGAGGCCGGCGGTATCGGAGACGAATAAGGCTCATTAGCAGAGGAAAACCTAGATAGCTCCGTAGCATAGTACACAGTCACTCTTTTAGGGAAGGAGTAGGAGTATCGAACTAAAGCCACACGATGCCGCTGCGGGCTGGATCATTCCAGTGGTTCTGCTCCTATGCAATTACCATTCCAGCCCGAGGAGCGAGAACAAGCTAGGGCTCGGATCGAGCGGCATCTCCAATAAAATAAAAAGGGCAGTACGTCGGGTTACATTAAGGCGCAGTGGTCGGTGGGGGGCGAGAGGGAAAGAAAGGGGGCGGCGATGAGTGCAAGATAGAGGAGTTCCAGGGAGGGGAAGAAGGAGAAGAGAGGCCGAAAGGGCGAGGTCTGGTCTTTTATGTCGAGGCGACGTCGGGAGAGGTTACAAAGCAGCGTATTAGGGCGCTAAACGTAAACAGGAAAAACTAACCGATACAGTAATTCACAGGTCCCCATATTACATACAGCTTTTTCCTCAGTCATACCTTCCAGAAACCAAAATCATCCACACCCCCACCGGGGTGTGGATGCGTATACGAATATCGACAATCTACTAGAATGTCTGTGCCGTCTTGCCTCACCGCTACTTTTATTCATACTGACTCCTCTCAGCTATTCAACGAAAATAATCGGAAATCTATATATTATCGTTGATCACCGGTGATTGAGCTTCATGATGAGCGTCTACAGGTCGCTCAAAAACGCAGAGGAACTCGTCTAATGGACTAACAGAGCAAATCACAGAAGCTGAGAGAAGGATAAAGGAATAGTTGACGTTATATCTCGATCCTGAAAAATAAAAGAGGGAGGAGAGGAAGGAGAGTAGTTATCAAGTGGGGCATCGACACCTCAGATCCCAGGCATACACGCACCCTGGTTAACAGTTAGACCACCATCACTACTACAGAGGGCACACAATGTTGAGCTCATTGACTGCTTCAAGTGAATAATTTATTAATCTGAACCCCAAAATACAGCAGTGGGGTAGGGGGTCATATAATTCCGACAGTTTGGTATTTCCGTGACTTTATACATGAGAACCCGTCATGATGGATACAGACTTCCGAGATCAACAGAAATATCAGCTTCCAGTGGCGTTTCTTGGCACAGAAACAGTGAACTCAGTAGAGCGAATGAAGCTTGTTGTTTCGGCTCATATTACGTCTTTCTTTCTCATCCGCAGACTTGGGCAGGGAATAATTACTCGACGGAACTTCAATGCTGTATATTACATTCAACATTATGTGGTACACCAATAAAATTGATAATAAGTAGAATCAGATAGAACCCCGCTAAGGCACTAGTCAAGTACTGGGGTGGAGATGCATGACGATCGGCAGGCTCAGGCCTGACTAATGCTGTCTATCCACGCAGTACCGATGATCTCCAGATCGAAATTATTGGCGCCTGATAGTCGACATACATATTCGTGCCTTCTATGCCCCACACTTCCCTCTCGGTGTCACATAGTAACACCCCAATAAGGGCATAGATATGACCTCGGTCTGTTCATCATCACTTCAATAGTCTGAAGTGGCGTTATTTTTATGGAGCTGAAAATCTCCTTAAGATCAACATCGTAAAGTATGTCAGTAGGTACCCGGATATATTTCATCTCAGGTTGGGGAAGGATAGAACCCAGAAAGCTCTCTTGGACTTGAATCATCTTTTCTCATCTTGTCAATTCTTGGACTTACTTGGATATCTTTCCACCACGGGCCAAGATAAATTCTTTGCTTCAACAAGGAACTCTCGAACTGGATCGAGAATCCCTGTATCTTGCTAGTGTGGCCGCTGTTGCTCGGTAACGTGCACACGTAACCGCGCCTCCCGATCTACTCCCCAGGGGTATATTAAGGAGTAGGAGCGAAGAATATGTAAGTACACTCATACATGTACTTTGTTTAGTTCTTCGTGATCGATCTTGAATTAAATTTGTTACTTAGTGTTCATCACAGTACACCCGTTCGATTATTAGTTTTATTATCACTAGACAACACCTATAATCGAGTCTATCCCATTTTCTGAACCTGGATTACACGATGAGATCAGAAATCTTTATGACCATGCGATTGAGAAGCTCTGTAATGATGATATTTTGCAATTTGATCAATTTTTGAATCCTGAAGATGAAAACATTGCACCTGATGATGGAACGGATGGGCTAGATATATATATTTGCCCCAACTGCACAGTTGAAGATCAGGACATCGACGATAATGGGCCTGCCCCTGAGCTTCCGTCTAATTCCGACATATTAGGTTATCTACAGTATATCCTACTATGGGTTGGCAACAAAGAAACGAGCACTCAAGCCCATGTACAACAGGTTGAGGGCTTAATCAGCGATTTTAGCTGGATCTCGAGTATAGTGGACCGCATTAGTACTAGTGTGCTCGGAGATATTCAGCTATCATGTATGCCTGATTTGTGCTTGTGTTTGTGGAGCTTACTAAGCTCAACCCCCTATTTATTCTGCACTTTCTATAGTATATAAAAATCACACTCTCAAGTACTTTGCCGTACTAGTCCGTACTGTCCCGCACAGAAGTCGACACAGGATCCAGATGGACGAGAAGCGTCAGGTGACCCTAGATGAGATGATGGGATGGAAGCAAAACTAGTCCTAAATAGGCAATATGGTATATGTCATCCTCCCGCCCATTGTACGATTCGCCTATTGTACATATCTTTTCTTGGATAGTCCAGTGTACTATAAGGGGGAGTTGACTGTATATTGTTTGTTGATGTGAGATGTGGAATTGTGTGGGGGATATGGTGAATAGCCGGGCGGCGAATATGAACATCTCAATATGCAGAGATTTTCTTTCCTAGTCACCCATGCTAAACGATAAGATGATCAGCATACGACTACTTTGACAAAGAAGAAATAGTTTATATATAATGGTAGAAATACTTGCACTTGCATTAACAACAATGATAAGTAACCGCCAATTCCAACTAATTAACTGCAACGCCGACGTGCCTCAGAGCATCTCCATCAAGTTTGGCCAAAAAGACATTGAAGACGTCTTTTTTCAGCCCCTCTGACTCGTCAATACTCTCGATCATACTAATTGTAGAAGCAATCTTCTCGTTCTCCCATTGCTCGAACACATTTTTCAAGTTGAGTTCATCAAAAATAGCGAGCACTTTGGCAACTTCCTGGTCATCTTGGCTTCCATAAAACTTCTCCAGGGTCAATCTCTGATCTTTATTACACCGATCAAGGGCCTCTAGGATGGGCCAAGTCAATTTGTTCTCCTGAATATCGGTACCAGCTTTGCCCGTTTGCTTAGGATCCCCATAGACATCCAAGTAGTCATTGCGTACCTGGTAGTACTGACCGAGGGACAAGGCCACCTTGTACACCTCTTTGAGATTCATTGGCGTGGCAAGCTGAAGATAAACAAGGGGCAGCGACATCGGGGTGTACGAAGTGTAGTATGCGGTCTTTCGCTCGATGATGAACTCGTATTTCTCTTTGGTGAACTGGCTGAGCCCTCCGTAGTGAGGGGAAGCTGTGAGGAGGTCATAAGACTGACCAATCTCAATTTGAAGGGCCGTCTCTCGAAAGACTTCGACAAGATCGTGATACGCCGGGTGATCTTTGAAATGAGTTTTCAGGACGATGAATACCGTCGAAGCGAGGAGGCAGCCGTCATTGATAGACATGAGCCCGATTTCATCGCGGCGATACCAGCAGGGTTGTCCACGGCGAGTCTCCGAGCCGTCCATAATATCATCCCAGATAAGGTAAGCCGCGTTCTGTATCTCGACTAGCCATCCCAGAACCATCAGATCTTGTGTTTGCTCGGTGGTCAACGCATCGACCTTGAGGGCCTGTGCGGTATCAAGAACTGTCCAACAACGATGAAGTTTTCCACCCTGTGTGTTGAGCAGAAGGCACTAGTAGAGATAATGGAGTTAGTTTTGAGCGCGCAACAATGATTTCCTAGGCTGTACCTTTTTATACATCTCGACAGCCTCGGCAGGGAGCCCGATACTGAGGAAGTAATCCAC